GCTTCGGGCATATGTCCATTACTGATGTTGGTGTCTACGCTTTCTATTGGATATTTCTTATGTTGGTTTTGATAATGTATAAGACTATATTGTAATGATCTATAAGTGCTTTTGTGTCTTCTGCGTGTTTCTGAAGTTGTCTAGTTTGTAGGTTAAAAATATTATATCCTAGATGGCTATGGAAGAGAGCATTTGGGACAGTTGTTACAAAATCTAGTTTGTGTTTTGCTATATGTCTTATTTTTCAGTTTAATTTGTCAACTTTTCTATTTGAGAGTACCATGTCATTGAAAAGATACTTTAGTTTCAGGAACAACATGTGATTCAGTATATATACTATCTGTTTATCTGTTATACTTCCATCTAAGTTTGTTGAGTATTTGTATTAATCATTCTTTTAGCAACTGCTTTTGAAAACTTTTGCTGCCTTTCTTTTGTATTCAAATCCTCAAGTACCTCACAGAATCATCTGTGTGCTTGATCTCTACTCCACTAAATTTGATTGTGGATAGGTTGTCTTGTCCAAACACTATCATATGTGTTTTCTGGGAATTCACTTGGATGTCAGTCAGATTGTAAAATGACTCTGCTGTTTTTATAATGGCCTGTATTTCCTTTCTGTTGTTTGCCATCCATGTGATGTCATCCATATATGTAGCGACTGATATGTTGATTCTTTCCACGTGTGTATATGAACTATTTTGTATTGTCTCCTTCATAATGTATGTGTAGTCCTTCATTCTAGATATTCTGGTAATGAGGGAATCATAATAAATTCTTCAGAGGATTGGGGAGATCATGTTCCCTTGATCAATTCCTCCTAGAACTTTGTATGGGTCCATGTTCCTGACTGTCATGATGATTGTATTCCTTCGATCATTGAAATTTTTACTTACCAGATCAATAAAAGTAGTTGATATCTTGAGTCTCTTTAGTGCAGCCTTGAGCATGTTAATGTTGATACTATCATATGCTTTGGACATGTCTTGAAAGACTATCCAGCATTCTTTGTTGTGAAGCTTGGCATTCTCGATTACGCTATTAACCATTTTGATTGGTTCTCTTGTACATACCTTGGATAGTGCTATCCAGTTATGTTTAGATAGGATCAGATGGGCTGTTAGAACTCTTAATAGTCTTAGTGTCAATATTTTTGTAAATATCTTTTTTATGGACTCTAACAATATAATTGGTCTGACTTTTGATAAATCATTCTTCCAGTCTGATATCTTGGAAATTGGATATATAGTGTCATGTTTCCACTCTGTAGATATCCATTTGGTCTCTATTATACTGTTGCATATTTTCCTAATTACTTCTGTTGCTTATACTCTTAGATTTTTTAAGCTTTGTATAGTATTTGTAACAGTCCAGATGCAGACTTGATGTTCACATTTCTTATTACTTCTATAAGTTCCTCAGTGTTGATCTCAGATGTCAGGTCCTTATACCATTCTATCTGAACATGTCTTATCAACACATATTCATGTATCCATTCCTCTGTGATCATGTTGTATGATCCTGCTTTTATTCAATTGGCAAAATGCTCTCTGGCTGTTTGCTTAATTTTTTTCTTCATCCAGTATGACTTCTGATTCCTCTCCTTGTGTAATAATTTTATCGAGTACGATCTGTGTGTATTTGTTATTCAAGATGCTGTTTATCATTCTTTTTTTATCTGTCTCTAACCAGTTCATTCTTATCTTGAGAGCTATGTTTATCACCTTCTTCTTGGATTCTGCTAGCAATGTTTTGCATGTATCTTATATGGTTTTTCTTGTGTCTTTAACTTCTGCAAGCCATTCAGTCATATGGGGAGTGTCCATAATATAGGCTGCCCGATTTGCTCACTATAGATATTTGTGAGTTTCTGGATTCTTTGCAGTATGTGCGTCTTCGTGTTATCTTCGATGAACTTCTTGGCTCCCTGTATGATCTGCGATATACCTATAAAGCCAATTGCATTTGCTGCGTTGATTGTTACTTCTTTGTTTCTGCTGTAACATTTATGTTTTTTGACTTTTCTTATATGCTTATTGGTTGTCATGAGAATAATATCTCTTAGTTTGTTCCACTAGGTGTTAATATCTATCTGTATACTCTTTCTTCAGGTGTTGGCTGCCTTTGTACATTTTTTGTCAATCTTCTCTGTCCATGCCTTCCACTTGTGTGATTTGGTTGTGGCCCAGTTGTATCTTGTATTTGGTAGTTTTCTTTTGTTTGATTGTTTGTTTGTGTGCAACTTGGGGAAGATAATATATGTTGTGATAATCTTGTGGTCTATATTGTGCATCTGCTTAGGTGGGAGAGAATGTCTGTGGCTGTTATTATATTACTGCCTTTGTTTGTGGTCCATATCTGATTTATTCTACTTCTGCTATATGCTGAGTTCTCCCATATGTATTCTTTCCTAAGCAGGTATACATTTCTGAATGTATTTATCATTTCTACTGTTATTAGATTGTTAATTAATAAGCTGTTGCTATGCCATCTATCTTTCTGTTTTTTTTATTAGGAGAGAATCTATTTAGCGAGGGTTTGTATACATTATTTAGGTCTCCCCCAAAATGACTTCCCAATTGTCTTTATTTGCTTTGTCTAACCATTTGTTTATTTCGATTTCAAGTTTTGCTCTTTTAACAGAATTGTATATAAGTATCACTGATTATTCTGAGGTATTTTTTCCTGAGGAATGTTAGGTTGAGGCAGATTGCCCTTCCTGTGATCATCTGTTTTCATATGATTCTTTTCGAGATGTGCGTTTTTATACTTATTCTGACTCCTTCCCCTATCTGTTGTATGCCAGATATCCAGTATGTTGTATATAGGTTATTTTTCCAATATTTTTCATTTTAAGCTTTGCTGTTTGTTTCCATAACCAGATGTCTCTTTTACTATTATCATTAATTCCTCTTATGTTGGTTATAGTGACTTTGAGTAATAGCAAGTCAGTGTTGTGTCGCAAGTAGTGTTACAAATCATTAGTTGAAAAGTTTAAAATTAACCAATCAGAGTATAGGAATTTTTAGTTGCAACTAGTTGATTATAATTAAAACAACTAATCGATTGAAAAAATTTTAACCAACTAAGATCACTAGTCGCAAGTTTACGTTTGATCACTCTGCTTTCATGCTTTTATCTTTTATTTTTTATGATCCATTGTTGTGTTCATGCTCTTTTGGGACTTGTTTGCTTATGCTTTGTTTATTACTCATTGTTGAAGACTAGTCGAGTTGGGTGGCTGTTTTGATCTAAAAGATTGTTACTGAAGAGTTTGGCGAACTGTGCTATTGTTTTTTCTATTTTGTTGAGTTTTTTGTTGATCCAACTTTGAGTTGTTTAGATGTCTTCTGTCTCAGTTAGTTGTTCTGTTGTGAAAATTGTGAAGTCAGAGATGGATTCCATGTTTTCTTTCATTTCATTCATGTGTCTGTATGCTGCATCTTTCTCTAATATGCTAACTCTTTTCTTTAGTTGACTTATCTAATGTTGTACTTCAGTTATTGTTTTTTGTATGTGGTGGATGAGGGCAAGGAGCACACTGTTTAAGGGGCAGTGCATGTTGGTCCCTCGAGTTATGTTAGCGTAATTTCTATTGGAGCCATTATGTCTATACTGGTTTCCTTTGTTGTAGTGTATTTTCTTTCAATATGTGGAGAATCTGTCTCTGGGAAGTGTCCCATGTTTTGTGCGAACATTGTCTGGGGATTTAACGTTGCAATTTGTGATTATGTGTTGAGTGTCCCTACAATAGTGGCAAAGTTTCACTGTTCTGGCTGCCCATGTGAGCTTGTATCCTTTGAAATCAATGTTGTTTGCTGTTGCTTTGATAAGGTTCTCCTAGGAGACAAAATTTAAACTTGCGAACCTTCTAAATGTTTCATTTGTTTGCAGTGTGTAACACACTTTGGTACTGACTTATTGCATGATATTACTAAGGTCTTGAGCTATTATCAAGTCTAGAAACTTGGTTAGTGTAAAACTAAATTCATCTCTTTCTAGTCTTGTTTCTCTTGTATAGTAGAATGGAAGTATTCTCATTATTATACTCTCTATTATTACTGATCAATTATTTATGGCTATGTTATAGTCTGATTGGTGGGTAAAGGTTACTACCACTGACTTGTATAGTCCTGTTATCTACATCTGGATGTACTCAATAGAATCAAATTTGATGGATCCTGTTGTGATATCTTTCTTGAAAAAGTGTTGGGGGATATTCCAGATTCTAACTGATTTGCGATTGGTTTCATATGTGTTGAGTGTCAGTGCTAATCTTGGTTTGGAGTTTTCAAACTCTGAGATTGGATATATGTATACTTCCTCAGCATCTGTATAGTTATTGAAAATAGCTACAATGTTTGGTTCTCCTGTTGGCTTTTCACTTTGACATGTTTGAGAGAGATCCTACTTGCCATTCTCTCCCAAATGAATCAGATTTTTTCTTGGTTGTCTTTTCCAGGTACTTGGTCAAGTGTAAATAATACTTTGTCACTGCGAAGTGTGTTCATGTTTTTATTGTTGCTATTGATGTTGTCATTGCTGTTGATGTTGTTGATACTGTTATTGTTGCCTTGAACTAATGTATTTGATACTTTTCCTTTCTCTTTCTTGGCATAGGTAAAAGTTCTATTTTCCTTTTCTTCTTTTTTTTTTTTCCTCTTCCATTTTATCTGTGTGCTCTGGGTTTATTGTCTGTCTTGTTTCTGAATACTCTTGGCTGTTGTATCGACTATCCCCTGTATCTAAAAGGTTTCCTTCTATGCTGATGTCAATTGTATCTGCTTCTAGCATACTTATAGACTTCAGGTATTTGTGCTTCAGGATATTCATTTCCTGTGTTACATCCATTTTTCTGCTGGTGATTGGCATTGGTCTCTTGAATGGAATGATTTTCTTGATAGTTGTAGTTTTCTTAACAATTTTTCCATTGTTCCTTACAACTAAGTTATTATTGTATTCAGATATTGTATCTCTGAAAGAGCTGTACAGAGTGTGTTAACTAGACATATTGTTTAGAGTTTTCTAGTTTGGTAATTTAATAGAGTGGAAAAAAATGTCGATGTAGGTAAAGATGGGTCCCTAAAGTATTTAGCATATAAAATTTACGTCCCTTTATGTTCACGTCCCCTAGAGGACATAATTCCTAGCTCTTTACTTCAATAGGGACATAATTCCAGAAATGATTTGTATAGATGCTTAAAACTATAAAGAACCTTTATAGATAGTTTTTTTTTATTCTTTAATATAGAAATGTAAATTTTTAATAGTAAGGGACATTTGAATTATGTCCTTACAAATAATTTAGGGACCTATCTTTAGATGTAGATTATCTTTATATAATCATAATCTTTTGGAAGCAACTTTTATTTTTTTCCTGAAGGCTGCTGCTAAAAGCTGGATTTTTTTCTCTATAGGTTGATGAATTTTTATATTCAGATCATATATGTGGTCATATTACTATAAAAGGAAATTTGATTAACAATATAATTTCGAATTAAATATAAATTCCAATTATTTACTATATATTATTTAGTAATTCTATTATAATACAGTTTTTGAAAAATGGTTGAATTCAATTTCATTACATATATAATTCAGACTGTTGAAAGAGTTTTTGTAATTTTGAGTAAATAGGTGAAAGAGAGCAAGATATTGAAATAATGGAATTGTTATATTGTTGAAAGTTGTAAATAATAGATGAAATAATAGGACTGATTGATACTTGGATATTAAAGATGTTTTCTTTTTCTTAATAAAGGTAGAAACTTGTAGTATTTTCCATTTCTATGTTTTCTGAAATAAGGAAATTTAAATTGATAGAAATTGAGAAATTATTTTTATAAGGTTCTTGTAAGGAAAAGTTCTTATGATTGGATAGTTGATTTTGCTGGATTGAATTATCTAACTGTAAGTCTTTTGATTGGCCAAGATCTGATTGGCTGGAGATTATTACTGATAATAAATTCTGATTGATAATTGAAGGGCTAGTCAACTGGCCTTGAGAATCAATAGGAGAGTTTGTGGATAGAGATAACTTTATACTGGCTAGCAAATAAAGGAATACTTGACTTATATTAATGAGTTGATATGTTTTTGTGAGAGAAAAAGTTTTTTGTTTTTTGATACCAGTTTTAGTAACCTGTATTATGTTCTAGGGAATATGTTTGGAGTAGTTTCATTCCTTTGCTATTATCTTTTGAAAGACTTTATTTCTAAGCTGACCATTTTTGACAAAAAACTTTTGAAGTGAATTGTAAAAATCTTGAAATTTATTCAAAAGATATAAAGATTTTTCCTTGAGAATTGAAACCTATACAAGAAGATTTTCATTGTTATTTATGACTGAAAATTCTATCTGAAATAATGATAGATTTGAAGAGTCTGGCTTGGAAATATTGGATATAAGTATAAGCCACCTGTTGAGATAATTTCTGAGCAGAGGAATTGTTTGTATCCTGGAGAATTCTGTAAGAATAATTTCATTATTCTTGTTTTGATAAATAATAGATATGTGATATCTTGTTTTGATAAATAATAGATATGTAATATCTTGTTTTGTCTATAAGAATTATGTCAAATAATAGGTTGGTGTCATGTTGAGACTTTAGAGATACTGTTTGCTAAGCAGCATAGTCTGAAGGTATGTTTTGATTTGATGTTAACATTATGTCCTAGAGGCATATGGTTTGTTTATATATTTATTGTTTAGAAATATATGTATTTTATATAGTGTTTTGAGATGATTTGTTTAATGACTTGTAACTAGGAGACATGTGTTAAAGTTTCTTAATAAATTTGAATATAGATCTTTGAATAAAGTTGCTTTGGTTAATGCATGCTATTTTTAGAACTTGTTGACACATGCTATTTTTAGAACTTGTTAATATGTACTATTTTATAAACAGCTATTGTGTCTGTCGCATGCTATTTTTAAATGTTGTTGTTAAATTGGAAGACATGTTTGTGTAACTGAGATTTTGAATAAGATTTGTTGATTTTGGTTTATTTGCCAATTATATGTATATTAAGAAAAATTTTATTTTGTTTAGATGATGAAAAGCTTTGAAATCCTTCTAACCTTTAAGATAGTAACAAGGATATTTGATTTATCAGATAAATCTGGTTACCTAAAGGTTCCTGCAATATCAAAAAAAGTATTTAATCTGATATTGGCCTAATTATAAGGGTAATAGTGAACTTGACTTCCTAAGATTTAACTGTGAATCAGTTTTTCTGATTTGTATTTTTCTAGATATAAGCAAATACTTGTCTTTCCTATTTGAGCAAAAATAAAGAAGTGTTAGAGTATATATTTGATATACCTTTATTATTCTGTAATTGTTCTGGACTTTGGGACTTGGGGATTGTAAAGCTTGAAGGGTTTTTGTTAAGTAAAAATAAATTTGTTTTTTCTTGAAGAATATTTTCAAAAAAGAAAATTTGATATGAATAGAAAAAAGTGAATATTAATTCTTTTTCTATAAATATATTTATTATATTATACAAGAAAACTATTTATAAATTTATTTACAAATTTATTAATATTGTTAAAGTTATTAACAAGATTCATAACTTTATATATATAACAAGTACAAATATATCCAGAATTGATCAAATTTACCTGAATTACTTACAATTTGATTAACAAAATTTTAAGTTATAAAGCTTTTAACCAATATACTATTTCCTTCAATTACAAGCAAATAATAATTATTATTAATTGATTTGAATATAGATCTAATAGGATAGGATCTTTTTCTTTATTAATATATATTAATTTCATATATCTTTAAGAAGCAAATACAAAAAAATATTGAATGTTTATATTACAAATTCAAATCATATATAAGACAGTTTAATTCCAAATATAAAAAAAATTCATTTTAATATTATACTATAGCTTTTAAATTAATTAAAACAACAATTAAATCCCTAAGAATTTTAAAAACTCCAGTATTAAAACTTTATTATTTAATAATAATTATATATAATAAAATCTCCATTAATATATCTATCTTGAAATCCTTAAAAAAAATAAAAAGAATTTTAATTAATAAAAAAGTTATCAAATCAAATAAAATTATTCTTATAGAGTTACAAAAAAACATTAAAGAAAACTATTTCAGATTTAATAAAAACCAATAAATACTTTTTAAAAAAACTTTAAATAATTTAAAACTATTATTTGATTATTAATTTTTTTAGATAAAAATAAACTATATAAAGACTTTGACAAGCTTATTGAAATTATTAACAATTATTTTAAAAAAATTCTTGAATTAAAATTTTTTATCTTAAATTAATTTTGGTATGATTAATATACTTTTAAAAACTTTATTTCTAATTAAGTATTTGATTCAATTATTAATAAAATATCACTTTTTAAAATTGAAAAAACTTTCAATAATTTCATTAAATATAAAGTATCAAGTTTTATATGTATTCTTTATAAAATCTGAATCAACTTGTAAATAGTAACTAAATAATAAATTAAAAATTTGTTTAATAAAATTCTTATAATATTTCAACTATTAATATATTGAAAACAGTTAACCATTAACTTAATAGATATTTGTTCAATTTTACTTATCAAAACTAATTGAAAATTTTTTATTAAAATAAAGTTATTTTGTTTTTAAAGTTTATTGATTAGTTTTTAATTAATAGATGTTTTATAAAATTAATCAAAAGTTTTTTTTAAATAATACTTTTTTTTATAATCAAATCAAATTAATTTATATTAATAAAAAAATTAAAAGTTTTATTTTTACAATATATAACTTATTTGATTAAAATCTAATTAATCAAATATAAAATATATAAAATAATTAATTAATTTATATATAAAAAAAAATCTGTTATATTTTGCTATCTATAAATATTAAATTAGAAATAAATAATATATTTAATAATTCAGAATTACTATTTATTATACTATAAACTTATGGATTATAAATTTTTATTTATAATTATTAATAATCAATTAAATAGAAAAAATATTGATTAATTAAATTTTATAAATTATTATTATTATTGAATTTTTTTATTCAAGTATAATATATTAAATTTTTTAATATTATAACAATTATTTACAAGTTTAATATTTATTATTATTTATCAATACTATAAATTAATTAACTAATTGATTTTTTTTTATATATAAATAATTTATTTGAATTATTATTTTCAAACAAAAAAAAAACAATTGAAAAATTAAAAATATTGTAAATATTTTTTAAATAGTTATTTTATAACGATATTATTAATTTATTATTAACGCATTTAATTAATAGATAAATAAATAATAGAATAAATTTTTTACGTTGTCATAAAGATATAACTTTTTAAAAGTAAAGTAAAAACTTTAATCTTATTTACTTGTTTACCATAAACTTTGTGTAGCCAATCACATGCAAGAGGAGTTTAATTAGGGAGCGCGACGGAAACGGACATTCAAAACGCACATATCATATGCTTTTTTCTCAAAATTGGATTGCCGTGAGAATATTTCACAAACAGTTCCATTTATTAACAAGTACGTAGTTTGCAAAAAAAAAAAAAAAAACACCCGATCAATCGAGACCAAAGATGAAAGTCCTCTCCGATACAGGCGATCAAGCAGATAGTCGAGATACATTTCGAATCATTATTGAAGTTGACGATGACATTCAAACAGAAAAAACTCAAAAAACCGCATCCACCTTCGCCTCATCCTCCTCAGATAATCAATTCATTCTTCCGGAAGGAGATGGTGAACCGCAGAAACAAATCCAAGAGTCCATATCCTCGATCCTACAACTATTCAGCAACTGCAAATTCACTACAGGCGACATCTTTCTCAAAGGAAAACTTAGGGAGATTAATATTCTAGATGGATACTTTTATTTCGACACCTTACAATCTCTTAAACACACCAAACAGCTCATAGCTCATGCTGAGAAAGTGATTCAATTCATCGATAGTATAAAAGTTCAAATCACCGATGTTTCAGAAGTTCTTCATCTAATGGCCATTTCGAAGGAATTAATCAAGGACTCGAAGAAGAAAAAGGAAATTATTGACGAGTTGATTAAAAATTATGATTATAATTTAAAATCCATAAGGAATATTCTTGAGGGCATCAAGACGCATAAGGAAAGTATTTCTAAAGCGAAGGATTTACTTCCCGTTAATGTTACAGAAATTAAAAGGATCCAAACAGAATTTGAAAAGTGGGATCGAGAAGCGAAAGTATATTTTTCATATGTAAAGGGATTTTTCGTTTGCTTCAGCATACTTGTATTTTTCGAAATGATGGATCTCCTGGGAAGCTTTTACTTAAACACTCATCATGCTATCATGATAATTGTATATGGGATTTTGTTACTCGTAGGAGTTATTATTTACCTGTATGCCAGTAATTATCGGTCTAAAGCGGATGACTATTTATGGGAAGTGAACAAGCTAAAGCAAGAAATGGAAATGAAAAGGCTGGAAATCGAGAATACAAATGACGAAGACACAAGGATAGTGGAAATTTACTTGGCTAAAATAATTTGTCAATTTCCGTCGGTTTCAGAGTACTGGAAGAAACATAAAGATTACCTTGAAGAGTTGACAATTGTGAATAGTTATGGTCAAGAGAATATGAGCGAAAAGTGGACTAGGAACATGAAAAGTTATGAGGATTATAATAGACTTGTTGGTGATATTTTGGATCGGAAAGAGGGAGAGAATCGGAAGATGTATTTTTGATTTTTCTATTAGTTTCGACGCTAATACGCGTCTTACTTTTTCATAATAACAAATAAAGGCAATTAAAAATTGTAATGAAAATCACTGATTAATACACGTATAGATTGGTGACACGAAATTAGTCGACTTTTATAACCAAATTGTTAACCGGTATATCTAAGATATTCTTGGCATGTACTCATTTTTTTGCGTGATCTGAATATGCTCCTAAATATGATTATGGATTAGTATTTAGCAATTGTACTGGATATTTTCTTGTTTATTACTTATGTGATCTTATATTTGGCTTTTTTATTTGTAATTAAATTTTTATAAAAATTTTTATAATAAAAATTTTAATTTTATTGTTATTACTAAAATAAGTTCAAATGATATCTTTTTATATATTATCTTAACAATAAACATAATCATAATAATCATAATAATTTATATTGAATATAATTATAAATTATTTAAAATATATTAAATAATAGTTGAAAAATAAATTCGTTTAATTAATACAATAAATAAATTTAAAAATGTTTATTTTTTTATTTTTTTATTTTTAATATATTTTTAATATTTGAAAACTTAAATAAAAAATTTCTGTTAAACTTATTATAATATAATTTAATAATTATAATTATAATTATATTATATTATATATAATTTAAGTAATTTATATAAAACTTTTAAAAATTTTATTTAATTTGTTTGAAAATTAAACTAATTATATATATATATATATATAAGTATATACAGTATATTAAAAAAAATTTTTTTTTATAATTATTTAATAAAAAAATAAAATTTAAGATTATAATTTAAATAAATCTAATAAAAATATTATTATTAAAATAAAAATAACATTAATTTAATTTAATTAATAATATTATATATTAAGTATATATACTAATATTATTTTATAACAAATATTACTTGTTAATTTTAAAAGTAAAATTATAATTTATAAATAAATTTATATTATAAAATAAATATTATTTTTCTCTAACTAAATTTTATCTTATATCTCTATAATAGTACTTTAAAAATATACATATATTTTGTTTAATCATCATAAATTTATAATTGTTAGATATAAATCGATACCAGCCTGATTGCGGGTTTAAAAATAAAAATAATAATAATAATAACAATTGCTATAATTAAATTTAACAATAAAATAAATGTAATTATATATTTTTATATTTAATATTGTCTATTTAATTAGGGATATGGATGCAAATTTTGAATTTCAACGAAATTGGTCAAGAAAACAACCGTGATACTGTATTTAATTTCACAAGTAATGTTTTGATAAAATAAATTGTTTGCAAATAAATGTATTGTTATGTAGATCATGTACATATATAATCTGTCAATCATGAACGATCACGAACGATCACATTCTTTCATGCAATATGAAATTACATAATATTATACAATCCGTGTGACTTACATTATTATGTAAATCTGTTTTCGGTGTGTATCCCAAATAAAAAGTTTGTTTATTCAGCAAGAAGTTTATATTCCTCGACATGGTTTCAACCTCAACCACAAACAATCAACAAGTGATTATAGATATCGATGACTCGCCACCGGATTACGCAGTTTTCACGCCGCCTTC